AGAGAGAGAGAGAGAGAGAAAGAAAAAAGAAAGAAAGAAAGAAAGAAAGAAAGAAAGAAAGAAAGAAAGAAAGAAAGAAAGAAAGAAAGAAACTAGGGGTCTTTACAAAAGCCAGAAAACAGCCTCTGCTCCTCTGAAGCTGGAGTAGCAGATGGTTGTGGGATAACAGAACAGACATGGGGGGTGGGAGGGGACTGGGTCCTCTGCGGGAGCAGTGTGCACTCCTCACCACTCAGCAGTCTCTCCAGATTCCAGCCCCATTGATTTTTATCTTGTTTTGCTGAGAGTTAAACACACATTCTAAGTCCCTGCCCTTTGACTTAGTTTGGGCAGTCACAAACAGGCTCTCCAATATGTGAGACAGTAAAGAAAATGGATAGGAAATGTCTAGCCTGGCGAAAGAAGCTCCGTTTTACTTTCTGTTGTCTGGACTTTGGCCTGTACTGACAGTTTCCTTATTTTCCCACCCTGCCACACACCTGACAGAAAGGTAGAGGCAAACTTCTTCTAGGTGTGCCACCTTCTCAATTCCTGGATAACTGAACTTCAAATACTTAGTAGTAAGATATGACTAGTTCTTTGAGCCCCGGCACATACCTCCCTGAGACACACAGCTGGATGATTGTCAGTCACAGGCCATGCTCTGTTGCTTGGGGGAATGATGTCTGAAACAGTGGCTGTTGCTATGGGTACCAGAATCTCAGGCAATGATAATAGCAGGACAGACTAGGGTGAAATGGTAAAATTGATAACTTCATCTCTGGCTCAAACACGGATTCAAATGAACTGTGCTGAATAATTTACCTGTGGGGGGAATAAAATCATGGCTGTATCACAGAAGGAAATTTCTTAATAAACGGTTGTCACCAACAACTTGTACTTCATTTTCTAGAAAAAGGAAATGTATTTTTTTCTCCATAAATGTGTGACAAGCAGTACAAAGTACCCTTTAATTTCCCCCAAATCTCTTCTAGTCTAGAAATTTGCTTCGCATTTCTGACTTTTATATTTTACTTTATATTTTGTCACTTGCCAGCAATTCTAGTTTGTTTTTACAAGCCCAAGAAATATAACTAATCAATTGTCAGTAGAGGAAGGCCTTATAAGTCATAGTGATACATGATATATGCATATATTGATACATGATAAATTGCAGGTAAAGCAAATATATCATGCTTCATATTTTAGAATTACATTTTATACAATGTGTGCATGTGTATGTATGCTGTGTGTCCTTTGAGTACAGTTTCAGAGGTATATTGATAATTTTTTTTTCAGAAAACCTGGAGTAAAGGGCAAGGTCTGGAGAATTATATTAGAAAATATTAATTTAAATGGTAGAGAAGGATTCTGTACCTGATTCACTAGTGAAAAGGGAGTGGCGTGAGGTATGATGAGGAAGAAATGTGGTAATTACAACATAGTTTTAAAACTCTTGTTTCTACTTAAATTGGTTTATGTTATGAGTGGTAACAAAAGCCAGAAAAACAGGTTTAAAAAAGACAAGTTTCTCTTCCATAATGGGAAATGACTATGAACGAAGCCAGTTCAGGGCTGATGTGGGACTTCCTGTCACATTTCACTGATTCCAAGAGGCACATTTTTTTCCCTCCCATTTTCGTGTCTTTGAAATAGGGATGTTTAGTGTCCTACCATCACTGTTGGCTGTGGTTGCCATTGCCTGAGCATGCACTTCAGACTTAACAGTGGCCTTTGTTGACTGAAAAGCCCGAGAGATATTGAGGAAAACTCTTAAGAAATAATACCACAGCAGTATGCTTGATGGCGTAAAGGAGGCTCTTCAGAGTCTCCCACGTGATTCTGAGAACAAAAACTGATTTAAAAAAAAATGGGTACCTGACGTACTAATAGTACTTCAAACCATTTGTTACCCATTTTATTTAGTTTAATAGTTCTTCACAGTTGACTTACGTATCCTTTATGTGCATGTAAAAATGACATAATGACAATCGTTAATGCCAAAATAAGTGTAAAGAAATCTTTCAGAAGGCATACTTTGAAAAAAATAAGAAATTGTCCTAATTTAATTGGTGACCTTGCTTAGTATTTCGTCATATATAAAGTGATGGTATGTTCTAAAATCATCTTGCTTTGATTAATAAATATAAATATATGCCTCTTCCACTACTGAGAGCTTCCAGCCGAACATAGCTACTATAAGTCCAAACATCACATTATTGTTCCAGAACTGATTGGGACATTTGTTAGGAGGAAGGGAAAGATTAGAAATCTAGGTGCAGTGAATGGAAGATTGAACTTTGAGTTAAAAATCGTAGGGGATGTGCCGGGCGGTGGTGGCGCACGCCTTTAATCCCAGCACTCGGGAGGCAGAGGCGGGCGGATCTCTGTGAGTTCGAGGCAAGCCTGGACTACCAAGTGAGTCCCAGGAAAGGCGCAAAGCTACACAGAGAAACCCTGTCTCGAAAAACCAAAAAAAAAAAAAAAATCGTAGGGGAGGAGTACTGTGATATCTGATATTCAGGAGAACATTGTCACAGGGACATTTCTTTTCCCTACAAACCAGAGGGTTCAAGAGAAGGCCCCAGAGCAGATGCACTTTACTGTGTGTCTTAGTTCAAACTAAGGACGTTTTAGTAAACTTTAATTTTAGAATAATTATAAATATGAGAGTTATAAATATAGGTTTCCCTTTTAGTATTTTCTTTTTACTTTTTGTGTATGATGTTTATGTATGTTCATATGTGCAGGTGTAAGTATGTGTGCATGTTTGTGGAGGCCAGAGGTCAATGTCTGATAAAATCTTCTGTTGTTTTCCATTCTCTCTCCCTCTTCCTCTCTCTGTTTCTTTGTCTGTTTCTCTCTCTCTCTCTCTCTCTCTCTCTCTCTCTCTCTCTCTCTCTCTCTCTCTC